TTGTGCAATGGCTCTGATTGATTGTCCATCTTCTCTCAGATTCACAATTGCTTCTTTTTCACCCATAGACAGCTCTCTGGTTTTCATGTTGGTTCCACCTCTAAATGCAGTCTGCACAGGCAAAACCTATCGTACCCAATCTGAAACTGAGCTCAGACATTCAGTGCTATTTATTGTTTGAATAATCAATGTAATTGGGAGACACCTGGGCAACAAAACACACCTGTCAGTCACATGTTCCAATACTTTTGCTCTCATGAAAAATGGGTGGGTTCAAACAAAAGGTGCTATCTTCTAAGTTGTGTATCAGATCCAGATGTAAATACCTGGAAATAAAAGCTGAAACGTTGATCTCTTGTCCCATATTCATCTTTTGATGTGAAACCCAAATATTTTCAGTCTACAACAAAAATAAAGGAATTGGCCTTACTGTTCCAATACTTTTGGAGGGCACTGTATGTAGAGTGTGACATCATAAGCAGTGAAGTTTAAGTGGACACCATGAAGACAGATGGTATTATAGAGAGGAAAACATGTAGAGGATGAACAGGAAAGGACCAGGCACAGAGCCCTGAGGGACACCTCAGGACAGAATAGCCATGGTAATGATGCAGTTGTTAATGCTGATGAATTGTTGTCTGTGAGATATGACTCAAGTGAGGAGAGGGCAGTGCAGGTGATGTGGAGAGAGGATTTGGGTAACTGATATAGTGAGAGGGAGTAAGGAAACCTAAAGTATGATTTCTTCTCTGAAAGAAACAGGGTTGGGGATCTAAATATAGAGCATTTAAATTTAATTGAAATATGTCAGACAAGTCTTAGGCATGCCAGTTTAGGGGACTGTAAAATTAATATTGCAGCCATCCATCCATTAGCAAAACCCATTTATTCTTGGGGGTTTTGGGGTGCTGGAGCTAATCCCAGGTGACACTGGATGAGAGGCGGGGAACTCCTGACCTTGTCCCAATTACTGGGCTCACTGACATTACATTTTCATCAAACAAAAACTTAATATCAGGTCCAATTTGGCTGCATCCTCTCTGTGAGGAGGAGTCAATGCAAAACTCTTCCACCTCTACTTATCTGACTGCAGAGAGGAGGACAGAGAACAGTGGACACACAGTTTAACATGATGGACTATAGGACAGGACTGCTGCTTTTTACTATGTGCTGGGCAGGTGAGTTTCATCTATCTTGCTTGGGCATAGTTTCCATTTGTGTGTCTGACATATTTCACACTTTTGTTTTTGTTTGACAGGTGTTGATGGTCAGACTCTGACTCAATCTGAACCAGTGATTAAAAGGCCTGGAGAATCTCACAGACTGACCTGTACAGCCTCTGGATTCACATTCAGTGACTACTGGATGGCTTGGATCAGACAGGCTCCTGGAAAAGGACTGGAGTGGATCGTTTATATCACTAGTGACAGTAGTGGCAAATCCTACTCTCAGTCAGTTCAAGGCCAGTTCACCATCTCCAGAGACAACAGCAGATAGCAGTTGTATCTGCAGATGAACAGTCTGAAGACTTAAGATTCTGCTGTTTATTATTGTGCTCGATATTCACAGTGACTGGAGTTGGTTGAGCAGCTGTACAAAAACCTACAGTAACCCCTCTGACTGGGCTGATAAACAACAACTGTCTTTGCTTTGGGGTTGAAAGAAATTACTGCATGTGCTAATTTAGGAGCAGACTCTCACTGAGTCTGAACCTGTGATCAGAAGGCTTGGAGAATCTCACAGACTGACCTGTACAACCGCTGGATTTGACTTAAGTAGCTATTGGATGGCCTGGATCAGACAGGCTCCTGGAAAAGGACTTGAGTGGATCGCTCAAAGTAGCAGTGGTGGTGTCAGCAATTATTACTCTCAGTCAGTTCAAGGCTGGTTCACCATCTCCAGAGACAACAGCAGACAGCAGGTGTATCTGCAGATGAACAGCCTGAAGACTGAATATTCTGCTGCTTATCATTGTGCTCGATCGCCACAGTGACTGGAGTTGGTTGAGCAGCTGTACAAAAACCTACAGTGCACTTCTTCTTTCAGGCTGTTAGAGCCGAAGCATTAAGTATTTTTTTGTATTTCTATGAAATGTAATGCTGTATTTTCTGTATAATGTTATATCTAATGGTTTATATTTTATGTTTTACATTACAAATATGTCATAAATAATAAATTAATCTCTGCACCTCCGACTGTAACAAATTGAAAAAAGTGTTCTTGAGAAATACATTACAAATTACAAATCACTAAACATAAAGAAACCCTAACACACACAATAAACATCACTCTTTCATAAAATGGCCAAAGACATCACAAACATCTGGTTGCTGAAATTAAACTACTTTCAATTTCTACAAATGAAGACACAATAAAATGATGTGCCCCCTAAAGTGAGTCATAATACGATCGTAAAAAAAACAATGTTGTAGTTAATTATATCAAATCAATAAAGTTCAGTAAGTAAGGAAATAAATGAATTAGTAAGTGCTGTATGTAGTACGTACATGCTAATGCAACACATTTAGACACTGATAGTTTACAGTAGGCTTAAACAAAGTTTAAAGTGTAAAGCAGAGGTGATTTGTTGTCACTCTGCAGATATAATAACACTGAACAGACTCTTCTATTGGCTCCAGTTAGACCAACATTGATGCTTCATATGTTTGATTCTATGCAAACTCAGTGAGCTTCCTTGTTACTCAGCTATAAAAACATCACATCAGGCTGTCAGTGGAGTTCACAGCACGTCAGTTTCAACATAAACCATGTTCTCTGTAGCTCTGCTGCTGCTGTTGGCAGCTGGATGTGAGTCTCTCTGGATTTGTCAAAGTCAACAGTTC